TGAACGCGTGCACCAATTAGCGGAAGTCAACATTTTCCCGCTTTTTTTCAGTTTTTCCGATGAACGAGTGCACCATTTACCGGAAGTCAACATTTCCCGCTTTCTCCAGTTTTCCCGATAGATGCGGTAGTGTTTCTCGAAAAACTTGGTTGTCAATGCAACGGCTGTTTTTTCGTCAAAAGCTCAACATTCCCTATTTCGTGAAAGACTCACAAGCCATTCAACTAAATGAAAAGTAGTTTGTTTAGAAAAAAACTTTCTTACCTCTAACTTGAGCTTAGCAGCATCGCCAAGGTTAGGATTTCTCTCGCACTCAATCTATAAAACAATACAGTTACTAAAGTTGTCAATATTTTCCGACCCAGGTCCTCCCTTCCCTTTACGATTCCTCTACTGGCATGCCAGTCTTCTTGCGACAAGTTTAACCAGTAAAGTGTCAGCCGACTTGAACTTAGGATGATGTTCATCCAAAAATAAAATTTAGATTAAAAAATCGTAGGCTTAAATGCATTAAAAACTAGTGGTACACGCTGTTTACCTCGAGATCTTTCTTTAGTTTCTGTATGTTCTCGCTGCTGACCTCGAGATTGTTAAGCGTCACCTAAAGACAAAAAATATTCAATACATCGATGGTGTATGTGAGAGAAAGAGAGAGAGAGAGAGAGAGAGAGGAGGGGGGAGGGGGGTATTTTTAGAAATTTTTGATCAGCCAAGATAATCTTGTGTAAAAGTAAGATAAAAAGCGTAGAGCTATTGTTACCAGAAAAACCTTCCTCGCGGCATCGCTTTCAGCAGTTGACGACAGACCAACTTGTATTTTTCCTTGGAATACACCTGATAGATCAATGCTGTAACAAAAACCAACAACAACAAAAGTAACAAAATACTAATAATAAATAAATATTTTAATATTTAATTAAATTTTATTTAATATTTAAATTTAATATTTAAATCTAATTTAATATTTAAAAAAAAGATTGTTACAATTTTTTTAATTTTTATTAATTAACAAATTTCTTTTTATCACAGCCATAATTGCGTGACCAACGCATCTAGAAAACGGTCTATTTTAAGTATTTTTTGGCAGTTCCACGCACCTTGGTCGTCCAGAATGCAATAACAACGAGCTTACCTTCCAGTTGGAAAACCAGATTTGATTTCCGTGTTCAAGACATCACGGTAATCAGAAGAAAGAAATGCTCTTTTAGTGAAAAGGAAAAGAAAGAAAGTGAGAGAGAGGTCATGGTTTCTTTATTTTGCTTCCAAAACAAGGGTATACTGACCACACCCCGATGGAGCTCTTTACCTCGAGTATATTCAGTTTTTACCCATCTCAGACCACGTGTCATTCTCTTAACGGTTGAGTATGAGAAGACACATGAATATGGATACAATTTAAACAAAGAATCTTATTCTCAAGAGAATGCCACGTGGTTTGAAATGAAAAAACATTACGTCCAAGGTAAAGAGGTCTATTAAGTCCATTATGTGCTTATATTTCCATGGCGCAACTGTTTTCTCGATCAGTGGGTAACAATGAAAACATTGCGGGAACCACATTCTCACTGCTGTGTTTGTGAGTTCAATGTAATGTAAAAACAAACACTCAATCAACTTTATTTAGAGAAGTTGTCTGACACATGACAGTTGCCAACGACGGGACCACCATTTTACGTGGTTATCCGCCGAGCCACGGCAGAGGTCTAGCCATTTGCAGATATTTTTAGAGCAAAGGCAGCACCTTTGGAATTGGAAGTATGTGCTTCATTTCATTCCAATGTTAGGATTTTTTGTCCAACCTTCAAAGCCAACAAATGGTCACCCTGTGGTAAAAGACTGTAAACCAATCTTACGTACCCCGCATGGTTCAACATGGCGCAGACTGCATCCACACAGGTACTGGACAGCGATCGTCTGTTAAACAACCATAACAAACAAGTAAGCAATGGTTTCCTTAGGTATTGAGACGAATGATTTATTTAACGTAACTTGACAAACCCTCCTACAATAAAACCCCCATCAAAAGGCGGCCACTTGCAGCCAATCGGTATTCAGCGGGTGTCAAAGTCCGAACGAGGTTTTTTTCAGTAATTTATACCTCTATTAGCAACTATAGGCACGTTCATGGGTATTTCTCGCACGCAGCTTTTCTACGCATGAGTTTAGTGAACGCGCTCATCGTGATGACGTCATTCGGATGTTTTGATGAGAAAAATATCAGGAAAATACATGTTCTACTTCTTCAAAATATCATACCTCTAAAAGGAATTCGGTGACCTCCCAATTTTCTTTGTCTTTAAAATTAATATATTACCAAATATACGAGGGAATGATTAACACCAAATTTACGAAAAAATCGATCTCTTAAAGAATTCGAATACTAAGCATTTTGACACACTACAACTACATTCAATATTCTATGCACACAACGCTCAATTCACATGTTCTGATTTTTAAATGAATACCATATTTGCTCGGCATCGGCGTTTAGCAAAAAGAAATCCCCATGACATTTTCAGGAAGCATAAAACGTTCAAGAGCATTTTCACTCAGTCCCTGGAGAGTTAACTGGCAATAGAAATGACAGCCATATTGGTGTACTAACAAAAGAAACTAATTACAAAGTTATTGTCAAAGGAACACGAATATGGCGGCTGTGACGTCATGTGAAATGCTATATGGAATGTCCTGAAAACGCCTTGACTGACGTCTACTTCGTCGCGACGCCGATTCCGCGCATGCTATTGAAAAGCACACTGTAATAAAAGATTATCATTTGTGTCTTTTGCCATATATATGTATTTTTATTGTCCATTCTCTTGGGAACAACTGTAAATTAAGAGGTTGCTTTCTTATAACGAAGGGAAAAGTTTATTCATCCAAACACAAAGGGCAGTTAAGGCTAAAGTAAAATACGGTATGGCTACAGTTTGGCTACGAATTTGCCGTAAAATTTTCTACTCATACGATAACCGCTCTATTATCTTACCTGACGGATTTTTGGATGATGAAAAACACGTCATCAACCATACTTGACGTCACAGCCCCGTTTTGGTCTGCTTCGCAATAATCCATACGAACAGCCTAAAGAGTGATCGTGTTATTAAAAATTACTATAATGAATAACGGCTTCGTTTAGGATCGAAATAGGGTCATTCATTCAGAGTAGAAGCCAATTGAGTGTCGAAGCACCCTTATGTTGTCAAAATTTACTGTTGTTGAAGAAATAGAAAACGCGCACGCGTGCTGTGTGCAGATATAAAGCACGCGTGGCTTGGCAGAACTAGAGAGAAGTGTTAGGAGAACTAGGAGACACTTCTCGAGTGCTCTGCCAATCCCCAAGTGCTTTATAACTTCACACAGCACAGTAAGCAATTTTTTTATTTCTTTTATAAAAAACAAATTACAATAACCGTTATTTTGGATAGRAATGACGCAATTGAAAGTGCGCGCGCGTGCTATGTGCTCTTATAAAGCACGCGCTCACAACCAATCAGAACGCGAGATTTATAGCAGTTATTTCATAAGATTGGACAGTCAAGGAAATAGAAAATAGGAAGGAAATACCTTCATGGCTGTCTCTTTCATGAAATATTCTTCCATCTTTATGTAATAGCCAATCAACTCCTGTAAAGATTCAACATAATTGAAAACAATCAAGCTTTATTTCCAGGCTTACTAGAGTACTTCATTACAAAGTCCGTAGCCTGGAGAGCGAGTACGGTCAGAAGAAATAGACTTTTCCCAAACTCGCTAACAAATTGTAAATCGAGATTGGACTCCATTCATCTTTACATATATTTGTTTCAATATAGAGCTTTTAAGTGTGACGTCATACCTAGAGGAAAAACTACTCAGTTCCGGCTCCAAACGGTAATACAGTTCTATTAAGATTTTCCTATTCAGTACCACTTTTATAACAGGATTTGTTGTCCAAAGTTCTAATTGTTTCAGGTGTATGTTAACTCATTGAGAACATTTTTCGTTTTATTTTAGCGGTTTTTTGAGCATTTAAACCCGGAAATACCACAACTTGAAAGCTCTATAACTTATTCGAGTCCCCAAATTACCGCTGTGTTCCTTGATTACAGACTCGTTTACTCAGGTTTAGCCTCATTTCAGTGTCATCATAATATTCACAAATACCAATGGTCAAGAAAAGAATATATGATTTCAACAATACAAACACTTTGAAATTCCACGGACCTTCAATGGAACACATCAATATTCCACACAAAATAGAGGCTAATCCTGAGCAACAGAGAACAAGAAACTGGAGTATTTGTCAAGTCCATTCACTAGCCCCACTACTGTGAACCATTATCGAATATATTAGCCATTCTGAGGTTGGAACAAACTGGGTGGAGATACCATTGCAGTGCATTGTGGGTCTGTTTCAGGGGACATATTTTCAAGATGGCGTCTATTGCGTCCCCTTAAATTTTGAAACTCGACGGGCCTTGACTGGAACACGTGAATATTCTGCACAAACTCGAGGCTAACCCTGTGCAAATGAGTCTGTAATCAAGAACCACAGCGGTAATTTGGAATTCGAAACGGGTCTATAGCAGTATGGCAGTTGCTTTTAAATATTTGACTTGGTTCATAACCATCTAGGAAAAAAAGTAATAAAAGAAAAACCTTTAAGGTAATTGGCTACTTTTGAATGTTCGATTTGAGCCCACAATGTGCGAAATATGACAAATCAATTTATTTCTTTGCCTTTTGTCAAAAATATTGTAGAATGATTAACTAGCCCCCTTTCGTGCAATCAAAGAATCTACAAAGAACTAATATCTTATGAGTCTTAATTTTTTTTCTGGTCACTTCCGGTAGCGCAATTTTTGGCATCCATTAAATGTTGATTATACCAAAAACAAGCTCGGGACACCCGATTTTTCTTTTCATATTTGGAATCAGCATTAAATTTCACTTTTAAAAAAATATAGTTTTCAAAAAAGTTTTTTTTTTTTTGCAAAAAGTAGCCAGTCACCTTAACACGTGCTACTTCATTTACATCGTACCTGCATACGTCTGTTGACTCCACTATTAGTGATGAGTTTATCAAGTATACCCTTGGTATCTAAGAGAGATAAGTTGGACAATATAAATAATAAGGAACATCCCCACAACAACAGACCTCTGGGATCTAAATCAGGGCTCGGCGAACTCACACATCGATTTTAGTTTTACGTGAGGAGAAAATCCGGAGAACCCGGAGAAAAAAAAAACCTCGATTCAAGGAAGGGACATAACAAGCTCTACTCACAGTTGATGCCAAGTCCTGGAATCGATTCCAAGACCCTACCTTGCTGGCAGAGTCTCCTTTCTTCAAGATCGGAGGAAATTAAAGAATACTCTGCCAGCCGGCCCAAAGGTGAGAGGCGAGTGCACTCCGACCCCTTAACCACCCTTGAGTTATTCCAAGGTCGGAATTTAAGTTTTGAGTCTATTTTATCTAACCTGGACAAGCATGAAATCCTTATTCGTTAGTCATTATCGTTAATTGCTAGTTGCTATAAATAAGCGTTGTGATTGGATAAAGCGAAGCAGATGACATGTGAATCCATTTAGAAACGCGCGAATAACATCCGCGCCACTTACGTATGTTATTATCTCAGTCAAATAAGTTTTATTTGAAGTGGTTAAAATTCCAAAAGGGGTTAATAATATTATCGGCATACGACAATGATTGTTGGAACGAAAACGATACGAGTGATTTGCTTCCTCCTGAACAACAAATTTTGAACAACAAGAAGCTTCCACACGATACGAAACTCTCTCGCTCTGCTCCAGGCTCTCTCTTCCTATAACACAGGACCTAGTCTAAATCTAATAAGCACAAAAAATGATTATGACATAATCACCTGGTAATGCATCGTCTTCTGAGATACCTTCTTTGTCCCCCTAAATGGGTTTAGTGATGACAAAATGAAATATGAATAGAGAAATATGAAAACGTTTAGTGGCAACACGATGTACAGAAAGGACAAACGAAGGAAGGAAGGAAGGAAGGAAGGAAGAAAAAAGGAAAAATCAATCTTGACTCTGATTGGTCAACCATACATTACGTCATATCCATCACGTGACATAGACAGAAAGGCAACATACCATAATTTTATTTTCCAGGAAGTGCAAATACAATTCTGTTCGAGAATTCATAAGTACTATTTCTCCAAGCAAAATATCCAGGTCTCGAGGATCGTATCTGTAAAAAAAGAAAATCTGATTTTTTTTTTTTTTTCAAAAGTGCTAACACGTACAACCAACTGTTCGAATTCTTTTTTTTTTCTTTGCCATTTTTAGCAAGTTTTATTTTTTTCTATATCATATCTAAATCGCGTTTTTTTACGAGAAGTGGAACTCTTACTTTTTACAATACAATCTACAGCACTAGATAAATAGATAAATCGTTTATTTCGAAAAATTCTAGCTTTCAAGATGGCGCAGGGAACTGTGAAAGGGACTATTAGCAATGCAACGTTTGCTCGTATTACGATCAACATTTGCATTCCAACTTGCAACAGTGTTGCTCGCATAGATGCGCGAATTTCTCGCCACTTTTAACACACGTTTACAAATATCAGGGGACTAAAGGTTCTTTAAGGTACTTACCTTTCAGTTGTAGAAGAGCTTTTCACCCCAATGTTTCTCTCTACAGACTTCAACTGAAAATATTCAACAAACAATGGATGAATAAACAAATGACGAATCGAATGGATGTGATGGGAAGCATGGATGCATGGATAGATGGGATGGATGGATGGATGGATGGATGGGATGGATGGATGGACGGATGGATGATTGGATGGAGATGGATGAATGGATGGAGATGGATGGTTTCATCAATACAGTACCTTTTCTCTGACTCCTCGATGTTTCTCAAACATGTCAAGTATTTGTGTTGACTGCTTGTCGCACTCAGTCTAAAATGAATATGAAGACAGTCAGTACGTAGGGCTATTCGCAGCCCGTCTCTATAGACCTCTTTACCTTGGGCGTGATGTTGCCCATTTCAGACCACGTGTCAATTCCTAGAGTATCATTTCTTTATGGCTGCGCATGACAACACACGTGAATATGAACAAAGAATCCTTAATCTCAAGTGAATTACACGTGGTCTGATCGAAATGGGAAAACATTACGGCCAAAGTAACGTATTAAATGAATAGCCATTCTCGTACCGAAAGCCTTCTCAGCTTTCTAATGAAAATCAAAGGCTCTGGTAACACACAAATCGACCGTTAATCTTATTAGTTTAAATTTGTTGCATAATAATCTGTTTCCGGTTCGCTAATTTTACAGTCAATGGTTGAGTTTTGAATACTGTTTTGAATAGTGTCAAATTGCTTATTTTTTGGAATGTTAATCATAGACAAATAAACTGTTCCATAAACAAATGAATAAATAAGCTTGATTGTTTTTTATTTGAAGAGAAAAAAAACGGTTTGAATTTATACCGGAAGTCAAAAAAAGGAGAGCATGCGCACATCTGAAGACCTAGAATCTGGGTCTTCCGGTTTGTGTGTTACCAGAGCCTTCGATTTTTTGGTGAGAAGGGTCTGGGTACGAGAATGAATAGCTAGCACGCGCGGAATCGTACGATATGCTGTTGCGACAAAATTCAATGATATTGGTAAAACACAAAGATTTTTCAAGGGCACTTGCGTTATGCTTATGGAATGTTATGCAAAAGCCTGCAACTAGAGCGCATGCAGTAAAACCAAGTCGATACTGACAAATACATAGTTATTTAGTAACTAATATCTGCTATCACTCAACCAGAACATTCATCATACAAAGACAAATACACAAGAGACCATTTGTGTCTTTTGTTTAATAAATGTTCTGGTTGAGTGATAGCAACTATTCGTCGCTATTAAAATGGCTACTATTTGTCAGTATCAACTTTGTTTTTATTTCATGGTTTTACTGCATGTGCTCTACTTCATCGTGACGACGATTCCGCCTGTACTACAAAGAAGCAATGAAAGAAAAGAACAACTTTAGATCTTCAAACTTAGTAGTGTTTAACGTATAACGTACATGTACGTACCTGTAATTCTAAAAGTAAAGTACCCATTCTCCCAGGACCTGGAAAGAATAAGTCACAGAAAACAGTAAACTGGGCTCCCTGTTTCAATGAGCTCATCAATAACAAAGAGGCGAATTTTATCGAGGGAAATGGCGGTAAAAAGACCATAAATTAATGTTTATTTATCGGAGGCTTACGTAACATAACAATCAATATAATATGGATAGACGACAGATTCAAGTGAGTAATTAGTGATTCATTTGGTCTACTAACAAGCAGGCTCCCTGTCACAAACCAAATTTTTTCCTACAGCCCGTGGTCAGAACAGATATTGTATGGAGGGGATGAAGAAGGGTTTTAGAGAAAAGGGGAGAAAAACCAAATGGAAACAAGGTAAAAAGGAAAAAAGGAAGGAAGGAAGGAAAAGCAGAGTGATGGATGTATTTACGGATGAAAAATCTTACCATAAAATGTTTCAACAAAAGGCTGATGTTCTTCCACAATACGTGCAATATTCTCAAAAAGCATGGTTAAACTATTGGCAAACACTACATTTCCATGGCGATCTGTAAGAAAATATAAATTAATATCAAAACTACTTCAAAAATATAATTCGTAACGATGCTACTAAATCAATGCAAATGTAATGCAATGGGTTATTTTGAGTTTGTTTGATGTG